GTGTGTGTGTGTGTGTGTGTGTGTGTGTGTGTGTGTGTGTGTTTGAGAGAGAGAGGAAGCAAGAGAGAGAAGGAGAGAGAGGCGAAATACAAAAGGCATAGTTAAAGGGAAGGTGAAAAAAATGAACCTCCAAAAACCAATTAAAGCCAGCATTATGTTAACTGATCTCAGGGGGACTGACTGCAAGGAGTCTGTGCTGCTATTTAACTTGTTTCCAAACGAGGGTGTTTCACTTGTGTATTTTACTGCAGATTGTTTATTGGCCTTGCAAAGCGAAGTGTTCGTCCTAAATGAATAATTATTAAGTTATTCACATTTGAGAAGATAGGCTTGTTCATAAATAGTAATATTAGCTGACTATTTTCACAAGTTACTGACCAGTACTGCTGTACAAAAAACATAAAATCCTAAAATAATAACACAAACTGTTCTGAGTTAGTTCAGCTTCGTGAATAGGACCATGCACTGTGATGCTAACAAACAACTTTGTCTAATCTGCCACATTTGAACTGAACTGCTTAACAGATCAAAATAAATGCATGACATTCTTACTGTGCGTAAATGCACAAGGTATACCCCGTCTGGTGCAGCAGAATACAAAAACCGCACGACTTTGCACGCTGAGCCTCGGTCAAAGTTGGATTTAATCAAAATCCAACAAATACAGACAAGTGGGCTTTCCACTCTGAGCTTTTCACCTGGAGAAAAATACCACTGTGCCTCAGGAAAATCCTGCTCTGTTGATGCACTGCCGCCCCTGCGGTCACGCACCTGTGTGAGAACCTCTGGTCTTTTATCATAGCTCATCCTCACCAGCTGTGATCCTGACCCTCAATTCATGCACATGTTATTCCTGAAATGGTGTCTTAGGAGCTTCATGATTGTACATCACCGCCTTCATGTACAAACTGACTCCTGATGGCAAAGCTACTGCTTTTGTTTTTTGTAAATACAGTCCTATTACATACATCTGCGCTGTCGTCACACTGGTTGAAATGTGTGTTTCTGTTCATAGTTTCAAACTTAATCTTTTCTGCTTTCTTATTCCACTGGGATTGACCAGTACTGTGAAAATAAAATACAAATATAGAATACGTTAATCATTCAGTACCTTGATGATAGTAGTCAGTCTACTATTATGTGATGGTTCAAAATAATTAGAAATAAAAAACAGAGGCAGTCCGAGTCTTATTGTCCCCACACATTTCAAACTACTATGCCCATTTGCACTGGTTTCTGAAGTATCCTTTTTAGGCTTTCTCCATAATAATGCTACATTATTTGAAGTGAAAGTCAAAGCCTGGCATCTGGTAATGTGGAGCATTAGCTGAGTATCACTTTTAGCCCTCATCTCAAATTACTGGTGACAAGAAAGAATCCACATCCAGCCAAGCCGGTGTTGAAATGCAGCCCTGTTGAAGCAGCCGAAACCAAAAAGGCTCGAATATTAGAAGAATTCTACCTGTATTTAAATGATAGAGACTGAATCTAAGATAGGGGTTACAGTCCTGGATCTTTTTTCTTATGAATATACAGGGAAATAAAAGCTAACCTAAATGTCCTTCAATGCTTTAACCGTATTTGGTAATAAAGTCAACATTAAACCATGTTATCAGTTGTCAAAATCACAGATTAGGTCACTGTGAATGTTACCAGTGATTCAACATCAAGCTGAGGGTGAGCTGTGCTCCACTGGAATGTGTTGTTATGTTTTTACCACAAAAGCACAGTAGTTCTGTTCTCTGGTACAATTTTAAGTGTTAATCGGTGTAAAAACAAGTATGCAAATTTGTGTGCTTCTACAACATAAGTAAGGAAAAACCTGACTGTTTTTCGAGCCCTTCCAGACCTCAAACAGATCATTTACAACCTACACACCTAACTCTGCATAAATATACGCTGCTATTCAACAGTTTCGGGAACTGCTTAGATTATTATCCATCATGCAGCACTGTCAGGGAGGCATCTGACTGGTCCCAAATTCATTTTGCAGCATGACAATAATTGCAAACGCAGAGTCACAGAGAACTAACTTCGTACAACAAGAAAAACAAGAGCTCAGCAGCAGATGGTGGCCCCCACAGGGCCCCTGTTTCTACACCACCGAATCAGTGTGGGATTTCACGAAAAAAACGGAAGCAACAAAGTGTGGAAAGTTCCTCAAAATGTTTGGAACAACCTTGAATGACTGCGTGCAACTCTACCGCAGAGAAGTTGGACTGCTGTAGGGCCAGAACACATATTAATCACCATCAACGTGCGCAATCACATGTATTCTGTAATCTTTTAATGTCGTCAATTAAAGTAAGACGACAGATTACCGGCTACCGCTACGTATCTTTAGTCACCTTCAAAACAATTCAGGATCAAAAATTGCACAGCATAATGCCAAGTTTCGTGCCTGATCTTGAGTGCACAACAAGTAGTCTGGCTCCACAGGAAATGAAAAGTTCAAAGCTGGAGTTTAGGTACCAGGGCCACAAATCACTGAGTGATTGTTTGTTCAATTATTCAAATGAAAACACTGACAGCTGGTGTTTCTGCCACTCACAGGGAGCAAACTCTGACAAGAAAAAAAAAACACAATTACAAGTGGTTTGTGGTGCTTAGAAAAAAAGGTTATCAATCACATCGAACGCTTTCAGTGATTACGTAGTGAAAAGTCACTGCTTTTCTGTGGCTTTCTCAAACCATTTCTGTATTAGCCTCTTCACCTTCAGTGTATGTTTCAAACAATCCTCCCGAGTTTAAATTTCAAGAAAACCTCACGATCCTCAGTGTTCACTCAATCAAAAACCTTGAAGTTTTTTGTGTCGTTTTAAATTAAGACACACTGTTTGCACTTAAGTACTGCGGCACTGAGGGAAATAAGTAGGAGTAAGTAGGTTTATCCTAATTGTCAAAGGTAATCTACAAAAACCCCCAATTTCATTTGCATTTCAGTGATGGAAATAGATACTTGATCATTTCCGTTAGGTGTTTTAAACAACAACAAAAATAAAGCTTTACCAAGTCAGGATTCGGTTTATTTCATATGCACTATCAATGAGTGAACAGTGGGGAACAGCCCCAGAACTACATGCGAGGATCAAGTTAGTGATTTCAAAGCAGCTGGTTAAACATTTGTAACAAATCACGCCGTAACGGTCTGAAATCCTGCACTGCCTGCAAAGTTGCCCTGGTCAACAAAGCCCATGATCAGGCACATGTGAAGCTGGCCAGTGAACACCTGAAGGTTTCTGATAAGACTTAATGTGTTGTGGTTGAACAATGGGACATCAATCCACTCGCTGCATTTGGGAGGACAAGAATCCTCACTATGACCTCCAAGAACACCACCCAAAACGTCACACAGGGTGGTGCAATCATCAAACTGTTGGAGTGTTTTTGTGCCAAAGGTACAGGACGACAACACGGCATTGAGTGAAAGACACAGAAACAAACACAACAATGTCATGGCGAGACCTAACCAATCTCTGGACCTTAAGCCAGTAGAGGACCTATAGAGAGAAACTTAGCGTTATGTATCCAAGTCACAACGTAAAAAACTGGGATTCCAATATCTGCAAAGAGAAGCAGTCGAATATCCCTGATGAGACCTGTGCAAAGCCTGACAGCTATGCTTGCCAACAACAGTTACTGCACCAAGTCCTCACAGCATGTATTCCAAGTAGATCAAATACTTTCCTTCCCCAAAATGCAGATTTCATACATTAAGAAAAAGTTAGTCATCCTTCATGAAAATTATTTTAAATTTAGGTTACACTGTTAAGTAATAAAAATCTAATTAAAACTATTTTTTCAGTGGAAGACCCAAAGACATTTACTTTGCTATATCATTCCTTTTATACCACAGAAAAAGGAATTCCCACACTTACATACATAACTGACCATCATTAATCAGAGTTGTTCCGTTTCAGCCAACTGACTACCTAGAACAACAATCTTTCTACAAAGGTGCAGAGTGTCAAATATATTTATTCCAAAGCGAAACATGCAAAGGCATCTCACAGGTGGTGCAAAAACCCCTGTAGTGCAGGACGCCCCCACTGACCTGCTCATGACTTCATCTACATACAATCCTTCAGAAACAGGGCTGGGCACACAGAGATCAGACACAGTCTCGAC